CCACCCATTGTCTTCTTTAATTACAAATTTTTACCTAATTTTTCTTTTGTCTCCTAATTTAATTAATAATATTACACTTTATACCTATTTTTCCCTTCACAATTTCCCTCCTCGAGCATATGTCAGCTGTATTGCACAGTGTTAACGGATTGCTCTTCTACAGGACATCAGGTGTGCTACTATTTTTTTGAATTTTACTTTGGCTTTGCGTGTATGCTCTATTTTGCAAGTTCTCCTTTTGTGCACTTCAATATGATCACAACTTTGCAACGAAGTTAAATAGCACATTGACTATAGCTTTATATATCATTCCATTAAAGGGGCTTCTCTATGGTTGTGTTGGGTTAGTTGAAATGTGAGATACTTTAAATGGGAGAATGATCTTTGAATTTAATTTGCTTAAAGCAAAAATCTTGGAACTTCTTTTATGTGATAACTGGTGGTCATGTATTTTGGGATCTAGTTTTTGATTGTATTCTTTGGAGTTATTTGGAGAAAGTGGAACCAATGAGGAAATTTGCAAATATTTACTCCTTCAAACTATTATGTGTCATTTGGGTTGGAAGAAAAACAATTAGTTTGGGCAGCCATTTATAAATTATTTTAATTTATTTGGTATAACCTAAGTGATTGTGCTCTAATTCATATATTTTTGCCCTTTCTGCTATTTCAAATCTCATTTAACTGATTTGAAGTTCAGACATATCAAACAGGGCAAGGGTGTTACTATCAAGGTGGAGCAAAATATTTGCAAGGAGTCAGGAGATGAAGAAACCCAATGGTTTGAACTCATCTGCTGAAGCATAGAATGAGTGTTGGAATTATTGCTAGAAACGTGGCAATCAAATCTGCAGAAATGAAGAAATGAAACTGCCATGAAATGGCAGCAATGAGGCTGGAAATTGACAGCAAATGAAGCTGCAATTTGACAGCAAATATGGCAGCAATTTAGCTGCAAATATGAGGGAAATGAAGCTGTCAAATGACAGCAAAAATGTGCAGCAAGCTAAGCTGCAAATGTTGATGAAGATGAGGCTGCAATGAACAGCAAATGAAATGCACATGAAATGCAAATGCACATGAAAGGCTGCAAAGAGGCTGCAGAGCTGCCAAAGGACGCAAGTTGCAGCAAAAGTAGCTGTTATTTGTTTAAATTTCAAATGTACTTTATTGTTTTTTAATGTAGAATAGATTTGAATTTTGAAATGTTTGTATTCTCCTATATATAGGAGAGTTTGTTAATGAGAAAAGAGGAGTTGAAGTCATATACTTCTCTCCATTTCAGCTTATGCTCTGTTTTTCATCTTCCTCTCGGTTCTCTCCATTTCTTTGTTTTAAAAAACCCAACAATGAGTTGTTGCTAAAGCAGAGGCAAGTTTCTTTGCCTCGTGTATTTTCAGGTTTTGTTTTAATTCAGTTATTATCGTAGTTTGACCTTGCAGTGTCAGTGAAATTATGGTAATGGGAGATGAATCATGGCAATCAAACATTGACTACTCTTTAAGTTTGATAGTAAATGAACTAAAATATGTTAAACTTGACAATATGTTAGTCCTCTGTCTTCTAATAAATTTAACTATATCCCAGGAAGGGGTTCTTGTTCCCCCAAATGTCATGTGAGGATGCATGCATATCTGTTACAGTCTGACATTTATTCTATTTGGCTTGTTGGAATTCTGTATATATGGTAATTTATGAGTATTGATGGTAAATTTCTTCTTCAGGAAACTGAAATCTCCACAACCTCTGAAATTATTGCCAGCATCCACTGATGATTCATCAAGGAAGCACATCTAGGTGCATCAACCTCCTGTATCCTTGGACATTGTTTTTTTATTTTTTTATTTTTGTTGGATAAGACACTCATACCGTTTTGCTTAGAAGCATCGGAGCAAATGAAAATTTAAAATTCATTAGCTAAGAATGGAGTCTGTTAGGACGTTATCAAGTTATATATGACACAGAAATGCTATTGAATATAGAATTTATTAATTAAATTAGTTGTATGCCATTAATAACATTCTAACT